AATTCTAGGAACTAGAAATGGAATTTTTTTTATAATGTGCATGATCGAGTCTCTATGCAGTGTGTACTGGATGGGAGATCACATTTTGTGTGTTGTGACGATGCTTAGGGAAGGAATGTAAATTGAGTTACAAAAAAAAAAGTTTCAGGAAAAAAAAAATATCTATTCAATGACTGCAGTATGATATGTAGCCCCAGCTAGGTGCTACTTTATAGGAGGCGTAAAGTTAGACTTGTGTTCATGGAAAAAAAAAAAAAAAAAAGAACTGAATTTTTGAAATCCTTCCATATTATAGAATGACTTCATTAAATCCTTGACAGTTTAGAACACTGGCCCCCTATAGATTTTTGCCAAGCACCCTAATAGAATAAATAAAATTAAAATAACTACAGTTTCTTTGTGCTTGAATAGGCAAAGGGAATTTTCAGATCAAAACATCATTGGTTGTTCTGAGTTTCAAGATGATTTCCTGATACTTTTGATAAGTGTTTCCTTACCATATGTATTATGTAGTTGTGATCATTTTTACCTTGTAGGTGGAGAGAAAAAAAGTAAGGGGGCAATCTAAAGGAAATGGTAAGATCCTTCAGGAAAAGAAATTATGACCATTAAGTGGTCCTTTAATTTTAGTTTAAGAGAACATTGTGGGGCAGCAGGTAGTGCGATGGTTAAGGTGCTGGACTCCCACGTGGCTGACCGCATTTTGATTTCCAGACCTCGCAGCTTGGCTTGCAAATCACACTTGCTACGTGTATGTGCTGCCCAAAATCCCTGAAGGAGGCTAGAGGAGAACAAATTATGGCCTAGCTACCCCTCCCACCCCCACCTCGGGGGTGATTTCTCACCTTCCCTCTCACTGTGTCTGTCTCTCTCAGATGAGCACATGAACCCTATGGTGAAAACATTTAAAATAAATAAATAAAAAGAGCGTTCGAAAGAAAATCTAAGATGTTGCAATCAGATTTCACCTTATTTCTAACTTTGCCTCTGACTGCTTGAAATTCTGTTTAAGCAGCTTTTTCTATGGAATGTTTGTTGAGTTCTATAAATAGAATCATTTGCCTGCTAGAATCAGTTTATATCAGGTTTACTCTTTCGTAATAATAGTGGAATTCTTGAGTACTATCAGAATACAACCAAAATATAGAAGATAAAATTACAAGCTTCTAGAATATCATTTTTAGGTATTCTTTTAGCATTCTTACAAGCCTTTTGAATATATTTGCTTTAAATTCCTTCCTTTTATTAGTGAGAAAGGAAGGGTGAATTTAAGATTGCTTCTAGCCACATTCTAACTACATTCAATTGTAGGTTTGCATAACTCTTCAATTATTTAAAAATATAGTTCGTGCTTTGACTGTGTTTTCTCAAGAATCTAGTATTTAAAGGTTATGTGTGTTAGAACATTTGACAGCAATGTAGTTTGTTGTCATAGTTGTTTTAGCTCTAATACAAGACATTTAAAAATCACATATGAAAACATTTGTGGAATTTCTGTGTGTGTGTTTATTAGAGAATGTATGACTCACCTTGGTAATTCTTTTTCTATTCTCCATGATTCCTTTGCCCAAAATTCTTGCTGTTCCTTGTGTGAGTTTTATAATTTCCTGACCACATGCCTTTGCTTTAGCTATTTCTTCTCTTTGGAATCCTACCCTTAACCATGATCAAGTCTTACCCATGTTAAAGGGCCACAAACAAAAAAAGATCATTGTGATTGAAAGTGATTTTGCTATCCTCTAAATTCCCTTTTGTAATATCTGTTTCTGTCTGAGATACCTTATACTTTTTATTTATGTTAATACACTATAGTACTTAAAACTATGATGTACTTTAGGGGCTCAATAAAAATAAGCAACACTATTGTATAAAATAAAAGTTGAAATATACAGTTCTTGGCAGAATAATAATAGTGTCATTGACCTTGTTTGTGTTAGTAAATGAATAAATCTCTTAAAAAGTCCAAAATGATAAGTGATTATGGATTGTTTCCATTTTCAACAGTTTCTGGTTGGCACTACATGTTCAGGAGGGAATAGGGTTGATCTGTGGCCACAGATGAGGAGAGATGTAGCAATCCTTTTTCTGTCTCAGTGGATTCCATCATTTGGAATGACAGGACAGGACATAGCATTTAGACTTTGTGATGGTATTCAGACCTTCATGTTAGCTGTGATCCCCAATGTTTCATAAATTCAGGACGGCAACAAGTATGCCAGAAGTCATAGTTCAGCCCACAAAATAAAGACTGCCAGTAATTAGCCAGGAGAGTTGGAATCCCAACCTCCTGATATAGATTCAGTGCAAGGTATTGGAGAATTGGACAGAAATATTAGTAAGAAGAGCTAATTAGGGGCCAGCAAGTGGCATGGTGGTTAAAGGCGCTGGACTCCCACATGGCTGACCACGGTTCAAGTCTCAGATCTGGTGACTTGGTTTCTCACTTCCTCTCTCTCTCTCTGTCTCTCTCTCTGACCAAACTGGAAAATAATAATGATAATAATAATAAATAAAGTTAAATAAAATAATTCTTAAAAAAAAAAAGAAGAGCTAATTAAAATTGTGGGGTGGTGATTGACAGTGGTGAGACAAAAGAAGTTTTAAGGGAATTTATAGTACTTTCCTTGTGTGGATGTCCAAGAAAAGTGGAAGAATCTAAAAGAAAGAAGAGAAGGAGCCATTGGTCTTCATGTTGGAGTACCCCAGAGCTCTGTTCCTGTTCTTCATCTGTTTTCTATCTTAACTCATTTATTCTGGGGGTCTCATCAAGTCACATTGCTTTAAATATCTATTAAGCAAGTGGCATGGTGGTTAAAGGCGCTGGACTCCCACATGGCTGACCACGGTTCAAGTCTCAGATCTGGTGACTTGGTTTCTCACTTCCTCTCTCTCTCTCTGTCTCTCTCTCTGACCAAACTGGAAAATAATAATGATAATAATAATAAATAAAGTTAAATAAAATAATTCTTAAAAAAAAAAAGAAGAGCTAATTAAAATTGTGGGGTGGTGATTGACAGTGGTGAGACAAAAGAAGTTTTAAGGGAATTTATAGTACTTTCCTTGTGTGGATGTCCAAGAAAAGTGGAAGAATCTAAAAGAAAGAAGAGAAGGAGCCATTGGTCTTCATGTTGGAGTACCCCAGAGCTCTGTTCCTGTTCTTCATCTGTTTTCTATCTTAACTCATTTATTCTGGGGGTCTCATCAAGTCACATTGCTTTAAATATCTATTAGACCAATAATTCCCAAAATATATCTCCAGTCTGACCTTTCTCCCACACTCCAGATGCAAGTGCCTATTGGATGTCCCCAATTTAAATAACTGATATTTTAAGTTTAGTGGATCCCAAAGTAAAGTTCTGATCTCCCAGATATTAGCAAAATGCGCTATCCATAGAGAAGATGTTGTCTTAGTCATTGGCACTCATCTTTCTAATTACTGAGATCAAAACCCTGGCATCATTAAATGATTCCTATCTTTCGCTCACAACATATTCAATCTGTCAGGAAATGCTGTTGCCATCAACTCTACCTCCAGCAGGTTCTCACCATCTCTGCTGCTACCACTCTGGTTTCAGGCCATTCTCATTCATGCATTGGTTTCCTTTTAAAAGTAAAGCTATTCATTAGGCTCAACAAAACATATTTATTAGAAATGAACTTTATTTTGTCTTCCCATATAAAAAAAGTTAATGCAAATTTTAAGGTCATTATTAGGTGAGAGAGACAGAGAGAGGGAAAGTGAGAAATCATCCCTGGAGATTGCAGAAGGATAGTGACGGCCACACTGCACTCTCTTCCCCTCCACTTTCCTTCTGGGATTTTGGGCATACACACACATATGCGTGGTATAATTTTCAAGTCACCAGAACCGCAATAGACCATGTAGTAATCCAGCACCTTAACCATCATGCCACCTGCTGGCCCTGAGAATGAATTTTTTAAAATACTGTTCTGTATGAGTTCTTAGATACCTACACAAGCAAACATAAAAACAAACAAACAAAAATTAAGGGACCCATAGATCACATTTGGTAGTACAGAACAAGCTGCCTGAAAATTCTAGTTAAATAATGAACAAGTGCAAACAAAAAATTTCAAATTCAAGCAAGAGATATGTTTGACACACAAAAAAAGCTCTTATTGTGGTTGGAAACTTTACTAATTCCAATTCTGATGAGAATTTTCAAATGAATTGATTTTGTCAGTTTTAGAACATTAACCTGGAGTGCATAAAGGGCTACTAGGGAATATTAACCCCGGGTCTATAAAGGGCTACTAGGGGATCCATGAATTCCAGAATTTGTGTACAGTTTTATATTTATGGACAGTGTCCTTGAAAGAGAGACTATAGCTTTTACCAGTTTTTCAGAGGAATCCATGATCCAAAAAATGTTGAAGAACTACTGAGCCTCGGGAACCAGCAGTTAGCGTAATGGCTATGTCGCTGGACTCCCACATAGTCGACCGCGGTTCGCGTCCCGGACCCAGTGGCTTAAAACTCACACCGGGCACGTGTGCGTGCATGCCCAAGATCCCGAGAGGAGAATGGAGGAGAAGGGATTGCGGTGTGACCATCCCCCCTGGGGGGTGATTTCTCACTTTCTGTCTCTATGTCTCTCTCTGTCTGGCTGGCGAGCGCACGCGCCCTACAGTGAAAATCTCTAAAAAAAAAAAAAAAAAAGAACTACTGAGCCTCACCCATAGCTATGTATCACTTGTAAACCAAGTTTAATTCTCAGGTTTATCAATGCAAAGATTCTCTGTTTCAGTTTTTAGGACTTAACCATTCCAATTTTGAAAGACGAAGCCAAATCAAGGCATTATTAATAATGCTAGCAGTTGCATTTATATGAAACTCCTCTCTGTAGCATGTTGATTTGATATAGTATCTGTACAAATAGGCTGGGTATCTATTGAAGTGATCTCTAGTTCTTCTGATTATAATTTTAACCAATTATCTTTTTTCCCCTTTCTTTTTGTTTGGTGCCATTACAAACCAGTAAGCATAGCTGATCCTGCTGCCCTTGGCTTCATCATCTCTCCATGGTCTCTGCTGTTGCTGCCCTCTGGTAGTGTGTCATTTACGGATGAAAATATTTCCAATCAGGATCTTCGAGCATTCACTGCACCAGAGGTTCTTCAAAATCAATCATTAACTTCTCTCTCAGATGTTGAAAAGGTAATATTAAATCTCTTTTGTTTGCTTTATTTTGGTGGGAATAGAGCAAGTAAAGAAAATAGACCTCATTATCTCAACCGTATGAGAAAAATCCATTGAATTAAAAATTATCATGTATTTCAAGAAGTTCATGTTCATTTTGTTTAAGAATTCAAAATAGTTATATAAAAATTTATGGATCTGAAAAAAATGTGAACTGTTATTGATTTATGTTTATAAATGCTTACTAAAATCACAAGAACACTGTTCTTGTGAGAAAGATACAGAAATAACTATAAAGTTGACCCTGATAAATGTGTAGGACAATCTATAGTTTATGGTAAAATGAAATAAATGCTTGGTAGAAGGACAACATATTTTGAGAGTCTACAAGAAGTTCTATTGAGTTTTAATATAAAATGATATCACAGAGAAGGTACGTTTGCAATGAGTTATGAAAAATGAGTAGAATTTAGCTAAGTGAAAATAGGTACAAAGGGCTTTTAGCTCAGAGTTAACCATTATGGGCAATGAAAAGAGGTAAGAAATAGTCCACTGTGATTGAGAAATGATTGGTCAGACCTGTTTAGGCTTAAAACATTAAGAGGGTAGGGAGAGGCAATAGGTTAAAATAAGGAAGATTTTGAATGCCATGACTTGGGACTATGGGACTCTATCATGCAGAGAACATGAGATAGTATGATTTTTAATTTTGTTAAGTTAAGTTGGACAGAAGGGGATAACTAGGGAAGATGGAAAATTTTGTGATAATCTATTTGGTGAATTTTAATAATCTGTGAAAAATAGCATAATGCCTTGGGAGTATAAAGGAATGGATGAAGGAGATTGAGTGGAGGTGATACTGACAGAGTTTGACAGTTCATCTGATGGAAAAATGAAGGAGGAAAAGTTTATGATAGAAATAGCCAATCTGACTATGATGATGTCAGTGACCCCAGAATAAGATCTAATTTCATTGTTAAAGTCATAAAAAAAAACTGGACACACACCATGACAGGCTGTGGATAATTTATATATGGAGCTCTGGAGAATTCAGAATTGACTATGAACAAGGGTCCTTTCCCATACATCACATGTATAAAAATTAACCTAGTAGTATCCTAATAGTAAAATCATTAAATCAAAAAGAATCTGTATTTTAAATTTCAATCCACATTGTCTTATTGTCATCCAAAAGAATTGCACAAATTTATCCTTCTGCTTATAGTCATAAGAATGTTTCCCTTTTCAGATAATGTGTATGTGTGTAAGAGAGAGACAGATAGATGGATAGAGACAAAGATTAAGCTGAAGAAGGGCATCAATGAGCCACCATTGTATACCTGAAAAAAGACTTAGTGAATTCAGGCTTAACTTTGTCTACCTTTTATGTTGTGTGAACTACTTAAAGAATGTTGGGAGGAACAAGCAACCAGTGAGCGAAGACAATAGCTATGAGGTAGAGGTATTCTCAAGGCATTAGCCCTGAGAAATTTCCCATTACGCGAGATGAGATATTTGAAAAGGTCTTTGTATACTGTAGAGTATATACAGTCTTAGTGGTTGTTATGTATCATGAAGGTATTCAAATGTACTGGTAAGGTTTTATTAAGCGGGATAGTATCTACATAGTTATTCATTTTTATTGAGACAGTATGCATTCATTCTTTATATGATATAATTATTTAATAATAAATTTCTAGAAGACAGAGAGTAATTAGAACATTGGAAAATGGTATAGTGTGTGTGGGTAAATTCTTTAACCCTTGAAATTTCTGGATCTTATTTAAAATTTAGGGTGTCTATGAACCAGTAAAATGGCATATTAAATTTTGTGTATATGAACACTTTGGGAGGAAGATGTTCATAACTTCATCAGTCTCTCAAATGAGTGTCATCTCAGAAAAAAATTAGAACCATTACAATACAGTAGAGCTGTGGATATCTTCATTTTAAAAACCTCTCCTTCATTTTAAAAACCTCTACTGAATTATTGGAAAGTCTCATTATTTAGTTATGAATAATTTTGCATAGGTATGTTTAAAGACTGACTAGAGGGATTTGAAATCTGCAATAAAAATAAAGTGCTTAGTAGAAATTTCAGCTGCGAAGTGCTTTTCTGATTTGCTAAGGGGTTTCCCAGATTGCCCTGTGATGTTGAGATACCTAAAGTAAACTTCATGTTTAGGAACAACTGATGGACAGGTGTTCGTAAAGTGATTATTATGCTGTTTGTAGAAGCTTGTGTTGGGATAATTAAATATGGAATTGTCATTACCAAGTTAAAGCTGATTTCTTTGTGAGTCTGACTGGAACTTCTAGTTTACCTTATGCCTCAAAATTTCCAGTGTAATTCTAAAGGAAAGGTCAGAGGAATCATCATATATTCTAGTGTTCTGATTTTAGTGTGGCAAGGCCATTTTGCAAAAAGAGGATAATAACTGCACTTAATGACATTCATGATTAAGAATTTGCTAATAACTAGCACTCAAATAAGTGCTTGTTGTCGATGGCATATAATTTTGTTTATAATGCTCAGTGCTTAGCATTGTACGGGGGGAGTCTTCAAAAAGTCCATGGAAAAAATGGTATTATGAGAAAACTGTGCATGGGTTTCAAATTTTTTTGCACCAGAATAAACTCATACTTTAATTCCATTGACTATGAACTTTTTAAACTCTCATGTTGTGAATAGTGCTTAGTAAGCTCTTGACATATGAAAATGTTCCTTTCATTCAGTCAGACTTGTACTTAAAAGTATTGTGTAAACTGAGACCAGCAAATGGTGTGATGGTTATGTCTCTAGACTCCCATGTAGTTGACCATGGTTCAAGTCATGAACCTGGCAACTTAAAACTCATGCCAGGCAAGAGTGCACAAGATCCTGAGAGGAAAATGGAGGAGAAGGGATTGCAGCGCAGCCATCCCCCCTTGGGGGAGGTGATTTCTCGCGTTCTCTCTCTCTGTGTCTCTCTGGCAAGAGCATGCACCCTATAGCAAAAATCTCTCTCTTAAAAAAATAAAAAAGTATTGTATAAACTGTACACATACTTTTGTAGGAAAATTTGTCCTACTACCAGCCGTATAAATAGGCACTTTTATTATTTAGCTTAAAGTTTTACTTTTCATGATAACATCCCTTTAAATCACTAGACAGGTTTATACAGGCCACACTAAAGCTTTTTGATCCTCTGGCTTCTCCCTTTTGCTGGGTAATTTTCTATTTCCTGCTTACTTGGCACACAGTGTTCTTATTTGACAGTTCTTTTTAAATCAGTTTGACAGGATGAAACCTGAAGCAAATTTTTGTTGTGATTTCTCTTCAAGAATATTGATAATGTTCCAGAGATCTGTACACTCCTGATAAACCAAAGGAATCTTAGTTTAAGTATCCATTGTCACTAATTTGCTGTCTAAAGATTGTTGCTCCTACTATCTGTGTGTGTGTGTGTGTGTGTGTGTGTTTTAATTTACTGCAGGGCACGTGCGGTTGGGGAGGGAGTCCCACCCCTCATGGGGCATGGCACACCACAGTCCCATCATTGACTTTCCCTCCTGAGCACCGCCTCCTGGCAGATCAGCAGCCACATTAGATTCTCGGAGGAGCCTAAGCTTTGCTGAGAACTGTGCATGCAGGGGTGTGTTGCTAAAAGGAGCCATGTAGCACACAGAAGCAGCTCTTCCTTTTTCACAGTGATGACTAGGTGGGAGGTATCTGCACATCCCACTGCAGTGTCTCACCCAGCCTGTGACGTGTGGTCAGTGGGTCCAATCAGAAAGCTTTCTTTTGGGAACCAGCAGTTAGCGTAATGGCTATGTCGCTGGACTCCCACGTAGTCGACTGCGGCTCCCGTCCTGGACCTGGTGGCTTAGAACTCACGCCGGGCGCGTGTGCGTGCATGCCCAAGATCCCGAGAGGAGAATGGAGGAGAAGGGATTGCGGTGTGACCATCCCCCCTGGGGGGTGATTTCTCGCTTTCTGTCTCTATGTCTCTCTCTGTCTGTCTGTCTGGCGAGAGCACGCGCCCTACAGTGAGCTTTCTTTCTCCCCTTAAGAGAATGAATGTAAAGGTCGAAAGTGTTCTGTGAGCCTTCTCAGTGGTGACAATTTTACTATTAAAATAAAACAAGAATTATTTTATTTTTCAACAAATATTTGTCAAGTGTGGACCCTGGGTAGAATTGTGGCATTGTCACTTAAAGGATGACAGGTGGCTATGTTAGGAGATTTATCTGTAAGGAGTTAGTAATCGTAAACCCTTCATGGGGTTATTGGAACATTAAATAAAGTAATACATGTAAAGTGCTGAGAATAGTACCCAGCATATATTAGTAGTAAGTACCAAATAAATATTAACTATCACAATATATTTCAAACACTGTCCTAGGTTTGAAAATAGGGTGGTCGAGAGGAGAATGGAGGAGAAGGGATTGTGGCGTGGCCATCCCCCATGGGGTGTGATTTCTCGCTTTCTATCTCTCTTTGTCTTTCTGGCGGGTGCATGCACCCTATAGCAAAAACGTCTCCAAAAAAAGAGAATAGGGTGGTGAACAGGACAAAGTCCCTCTACATGGAGTTTATATTCTAATACATTATAACTGTGAAGACAAACACATGAGTTGTGTTAAAGAGCTCCCTTGACTGTCTTCTTTCACGTCACATCTTTAAATATCTATCCCTCACTCTCCCTTTCTACATATATATTGCCTGAATTTCTCAAGTCTACGCACTTGGATTCTTTTCTTTTCTGCCTATTTCTATGACCATAGTCAGATCTTCATTTCCCTTAAGTTCTGTCATGATTTCCTCTTAATCCTGCTTCTTGACTGTTCTCCCACCAGCTGTCAGATTAACCTCTCAGTTATGTAATTTTTTCTCCTCAAAAACTTTCATTGAGGTGTTCCTTTTTCACTCAATGAAGATTCTTCAACCAAACATAGAAAGCTCTTCAGGGCCTGGCCGCCCCAACTCCCTTCTGACTCATCTTTTCCCCATGCACAGGCTATAACCAGTGATTATTATACAATTCCTGGACTTTCTGACTTTACTCTTTTGCATAACAATGCCCTTCTCCCCCATTTCCACATGTCCATCGTGTGTACCAACCATGACTTCACTGAACATCTATCGAGGACTCCTTATATGTCCAATGCCATAAAAGGTCATGGAGAGGAGCCAGCAGGTAGTGTAATGGTTAAGACACTGGACTCCCATATGGCCAACCTCAATTTGAGTCCTGGACCTGGTGGCTTGCTTTCTCATTCTCCCCCTCCCCCCATCTCTAGTGAGTGCATATACCCTATAGCAAATTAAAATAATGATCATAATAATTAATAAAATTAAATAAACTATTCTTTGAAAAGAGAAGGCCATAGAGATGCAAAGATCAATAAAAAGGAGTCCTTACTCTTAGAGCTAATGGAGAGATAGACATAGTAATAATAATGATGACAATATGAGAATCATGATGATGATAGTGACAGTGATGATGCAGGGATACCTACAATGATAGTAGATCTGAACAGAAATTGAGAGCAGAGATAACCTATTTCAAGTCTCAGCTTACCCTCTGCTTTTTCTTCTCTCTCCTCTAAAATCACAAACCACGTTTTCCTGCCTCCTTGAGAGTCTTTGGCATGAATTTGCCACCTCTACCTTATTGAATACATAGATGCATACATATGTAGTCATATATTTTTCCTTCTAGATTTATTTTTTCAAATAGTTATTTATTTGATTTTGTTTATTATTTTTTTATCATTATTTAATTTGACCAGAGAGAGAGGCAGAGAGTGAGAAAGCAAGTCTCTAAATTTGGGACTTGAACTATGGTCAGTCAGATGGGAGTCCAACACCTTACCACCACACCACCTGCCAGTCCCATCTCCTTCTAGATTTCTAATTCTAGGAAAGGTTATACAGATTAAAGTAGTAGTTCTCAACCAGAGACAGTTTTACCTTCTAGGGGAGATTTAATGATGGAACATTTCTGGTATCATAACTGAGGGGATGAATATGGGTATTACTGCCAGCCTCTAGTGAATAGAGGCGAGCGATGCTGCTGCTAAATACCCTCCAGTCATCAAGACAGCTCTCCACACAGTTGATCTGAACCAAAATGCCAATGGCACTGAAGGTGAAAAACCCTGACTCTGAGAGTAAGAGCATAAATTCTGGAGTCAGGGTTTGAACCCTGCCTAAACTGTGTGACCTTGGGCAGGTTACTTTCCCTCTGTAAGACTGAATGACAGTGTGTGTGTAACAGGCATAGCAACAGTGGGCATTATGTATATGTTACCTATTCTTTTATGTATACTAATATATACTTGTATATGACAGCATAATTTTTTAAATTAAAATATAATAATTGTGGGGCCAGCAGTTGGCGTAATGGCTATGTCACTGGACTCCCATGTAGTCGACTGCGGTTCGAGTCCCGGACCTGATGGCTTAAACTCACGCCAGGCGCATGTGTGTGTGTGCCCAAGATCCCGAGAGGAGAACAGAAAAGAGACTGCAGCATGGTCATCCTCCCAGGGGGTGATTTCTCACTTTCTGTCTCTCTTTCTGGCGAGCACACACACCCTACAGCAAAAACCTCTCTAAAAAAAAATAATAATTGCTCTTATTTGTGGGGGGTACAATGTGATATTTTTATAGTACAAAAATACAATGCATAATGATTAAATCGGGGTAATTGATTACACATATCTCAACCATTTGTCTTTACTTTGTGCTGGGAACATTCGAAATTCTCTCACTTCATTTCTCTGATATATACAGAAGATCTTTGTTAACTATATCTTCCCTGATGTATTTTATAACACTAAAAATTATTGTCTTCCTATAATGTTGTTCCCATTAATCAACACCCCTGTCTTCCCCCTCATCCTTCCCTGATTTTAGTAGTCATCCTGACTTTAGTGATCATTCATTTCTCTCCCTATACAAAGTCATTTTTTTTCCATATCCATATATGAGGGAAAACATATGGTATTTCTCATTCTGTGTCTGGTTTATTTCAGTTAATATAATGTCCTCCATGCTCTTTCATTTAACCTCAAATGACAACAGTTCATCCTTTTTAATGGCTGAATCATACTCTGTGTGCATGCGTCTGTGTGTGTGTGTATGTGTGTGTGTGTGTGTGTATCACATTTTCTTTATTCATCTGTTGATGAACACTTAGATTGATTCCATACGTTGGCTATTATGAATAGTGCACAATAAATATTAAGATGCAGTTATCTTTAGGACATACTGCTTTCCTGTTTTTTTAGATATGTACCTAGTAGTGAGATTGCTGGATCAAAAGGCATTTCTATTTTTAGGTTTTTGAGGAATCTCCATTCTGTTTTCCATAATAGAATTTACATTTCCACCACTAAAGTGAAAGAATGCCCCCTGTCCCCAAGACAAGTCATTGGATCTTGCCACACTCCCTAGCATAGTGGCTTTCAGAAAAAATGCTGAGTGACTTGATGGGTAGTGACTAAATGCGTAACCAGCTTTTTTATAACTGCATATCTTCTGGAACCAGCTCTTCTATCTCTTCATAGAACCCTATCAGTGTGAATCATCACTATCAAAAGTACCCCTCCACAGGAAACTGTCCTGGCCTGCTATTCTTTTATCCTAGGG